CCCTGGGGGGCGGGGCCACCGTTGCTCTCGTTGAGGAGGCGGAGGTCCTCGGCGGCCACCTGGTGCTCCGCGCTCCTCATGTCCAGCACCTGCAAGGAGAGGGCCACTTAGAGCCACAGTCCACGTCCAAACCTTCACAGGAAAAGTATCACTCACGTCCGCACTGACAAGTCACAGGTTAGAAGCATCAGAAATTATTTTAAAAATAAAACAAAGTTATTCTACTGGAAATGAGCAGCACACTTCCTGCCAGTAAGTGGATTTCCAGGGAGCGTGTCCGTACCCGCTCACCCTTCACTTGAACACTGAGAGGAGGAAAGGTCAGGGTCCTATGTATGTGATGTGACTATTTCAGTTTCAGGTTCACTGAAGATTCAAACAAAAGGCAGCTGGGGCGTGCGGGAGCCGGGCTGGGCGCTGCTCCCGGAGAAAGCAGTTGTGATCAGTTGTGCGGGGGCGGGACGGGGGGGCCAGACCCCAGGGAGCGTGGGGCCCAGTCCAGCCTCAGGAGCAGGGGGGCCAGCGGGTGGGAAACGGCTGAGGGAGCAGCAAGGCCGGGGGCTCTGCTGAGCCTGCTGCACGGGGTCCTGGCCGAGGCAGGCGGGGCAGGTGGCCCGGGGACGCTGGGAGTGAGGAGCAAATGGCCGAGGGCAATCAGACACTGAAGAGACATAAGGACTCTTGCTGTGAGGGGCCGCAGGCCTGACCAGGACAGACCCCAGGACAGACCCGAGGCCACGGCCTGAGGCTTCAGGCCTGACCAGAGGCAGGCCAAGGGGAAGCGGGAGCAGGAGGGGCCTCTCCCAGGTTCCCAGGAAAGGCCAGAGGCCACGCCACCGTGCTGTGTCCTGCCTCAGGGAGCACACAGGCGGGCCGACGGGCCAAACGCATTTGCCTGCTTTTTAAGAAGCCGCAGATATATCAGTCTAGTCGAGACCACACTCCCTGGCACTTGCTTGATGCCGTGCCGTGAATATCCAGTATCTTACTGTGCTTCTAAAGAGATGCCAGTCTCCGAAGTTCATGTTCATCTCCTTCTTCAGCTCGTCCATGTTGCACTGCGCCAGCACGCGCCCGTTGATGTTGGCCTGAGGACGAGGATGGAGGGAAGAGGTGTGACGGCTCCGGGTCACTGGGGGGGAAGTGCACTCACACCAGCACAGACAGGCCAGGGGCCGGCCCCCCAGCTCTGTCCACACCACCTCCCGCCAGGAGCAGCCGCAAAGCTCGTCTCTCCTCCAACCTTGTCACATCCCAGCGTGCACAGCAGCTGCAGGAGGGGCATGGCTGGTGAGTGCCGCCCGAGCTCTGTACGAAGAAAGAGCCACGAGGCCCCCTCACACCTTTCTCAGCCACAGCAGGCGGCTCAGACACAGCTCCAGCCGCCCCACGTGGGAAAGGACGGACCGTCCCTTCACAGGCAGGTCTGACTCCCCACAGCCCTGATCCACAGGCGGGAATGGCGGGAGGCCCGCATCTGGAACTGACGCTGCCCGGTCTCCAAGTGAACCCAGCAGGGAAGGTGCATGGGAGCTGGGGCTGGGGCTGGGGCTGTGGCCGGGGCCCCGCCTCGGGAGGACAGCAGCCGGGCAGGGACCAGCAGCTGCTGGGGACCTCCCAGAGCCAGGCC